TCAAAAATGAGGAATCCTAGATTACCAAAATAAAATTAAATGAAAAACCCATAAAACACAATTTAGAAAAATGTCTATGATATCACAGTACTATGTATAAATTGCTTCTTTAAGATATCACAGTACTATGTATAAATTGCCTCCATATCACCGTACCACTACGTTCATTCAATACATGATGAATTCTTGTATCATTGATTCTCTGGACTCTTCTCAATGCACTTCTCCCATTCACTATCTCAAACATTGTCTTTGTGCCAATTTTCTCTGCCTATATGTATCTGCTGCAGATTCACACCTTTACATCCCTGGAAAGTATTTGCACAGGCACAAACATAAAGGAAAATTCTGCTGCAGTCCTGTACTGACATCAACAGATTAGAATGTGTACTATATACCGCCCACATTTTCTCCTCCTCCAGCGAGGAATTATTTGATTCTTTGCCAAACCATTCATTATTTAAAAATAAATAAATAGATAAAACGTTAATGGTCTTGCTGCAAGTCTGTACCTGACTTCTAAACCCTACCACCCCTCCAAATGTGAAGATGTGCATTTACAATGAGAAGGGGAAAGAGCCATGGACTATACGCAGACATAGGCAACCTTTGGCACTCTAGATGTTGTGGATTACTCTGATGCTTTGCTAGCATTCTAGCTGTAAGAGCATTATGGGAGATGTAGTCCACAATATCTTGTTTCCAGGGCCTGTGCAAGATTTGCCTCCCCCTTCCCCTCAGGGACATCGCAATGCCCCACCCATATGATCTGCCATATGAATTAATGCCAGTGCTGCACACAGTGTGTGTTTACATTAAAAAGCCTGCAGGGACAAACTATAGACACCAGAACAACTTTATTAAGCTGCAGTGGTTCTGGGGACTATAGTGTCCATTTAATGTGAGGTCAATTAGAGATTAGTGTCACTAATAATATACTAGATGCCAACTTACAATCAGATGAGGATGGTGATGGTCTCTGGCTGCAGTCTGGCTCCACTGGTATGGTGTAGAACAGGATCTCTGGAGGCTGTTTGTAACTGTGGTCACAAAATTCAATGTTCTGGGAGAACGGGAAACAGCTCAATTTTTTGGGGCCTCTTACATAGCTCAAGGTCTGGGCCCCAGGGCCTGACGGTGAGTATGCCCATAAAGCCCACCCATAAGTCCACCTACATGTGCCACCCATGAGTTCGCTCACAAGGAGTGGAGTGTGTAGGGGATGTGTTATGTGTTACTGAAGAGGATCTAATATGTGTACTTATGGAATGTAGTGTATAGGGATACCAGTTTGTGTAGGTGATGCAGTGTGTTTGTGTGTAGTGGAAGCAGTGTGTTTTTGTGTAAGGGATAGAAAGCAGTGAGTGTTTGTGTATAAGGGATGTATTGTGTGTTTCTTGCTGTGTGTAAAGGATGCATTGTGTGATCTGTGTTTGTATGCATAAGGGATGCAAAGTGTGTTTCTGTGTATGTAAGGGATGCAGTGTGTTTCTGTGTATGTAAGGGATGCAGTGTGTGTGTCTGTAAGGGGCGTGTTGAGTGTGTGTAAGAGATGCATTGTATTTCTGTGTGTGTAAGAGAAGCAGTGTGTATTTGCATGTGTGTGTAAGGGAT